ATCATTTTATGAAACAATATATATTATATTATATATATTTTTTATTTAATTATTTAATTTAAAATATAAAATAAATTGATAAATCTAATAAATACTAGATAAGTCGATTAATACAAGATACAAGATAGAAAAATCTATTAATCATTTATTAATAATATTAATTGTTCTATATTTTAAGAACTTAAAAATATGTTACCATTTTAATGTCATTTTCATTGTTATCGATACAGGATAAAATAGATTTCATCACAAAACTGACAAAATTCTTTTACCATTTTTGTGTTGTACATTCTTCATTACCGATTTAGTTTAGAATAAGATGGTAAGGTTCGATTAGAATAAAACTATTAAAACTATATGATTCTATATTTAAAAATTGATAAAGAAATTAATTTTAATAAAAATAAATAAGAGAAAACAAATATTTTGTTGCAGAATATATTAAGTGCGTATAAAATAGTATTTCAAATTTAAACAAATAATTTTATAAATAATGATGAAATTATTTCTTTAAAAATTTGAAATATATATAATAATTTATTATTATTTATTATTATTTATTTATATTTACACAATAATTTATTTAAATTCTATTTATATAAATAAAATTTGTTATATAATTATAAAGGATTTGTTAACATAATATATATATAATTATCTAATTTGATTTGAATGGCGTATTAAATATTATGAAATACATGAAATACAGTTGTATCTATATTTCAATCTTAAAACAACGAACATAGATCGAAAAAGACGTAAAAAAAAATAAAAACATAGATATAAAGTACAAATATACATACATACATATGTTTAAATAGATTTTAATTAATCAATAAAAATGCTTTTATAAATTATGCTATTATAAATTATAAATTATCTGATATATAAATAATTTTATATATCAGAAATAAAATATATGATAAAATATATATGTATATATATATATTTAATTATTGCTAAAAATATATAAAAATATATAATTGAGAGATATATAATCGAGAAGATATATTTATATAATTATATAAATAATATTCTATTATGATTAGTTTTAAAATTAATAAATAAGTAAAATATATATTTATCCATATACATATATTTGAAACATTTGCAAAAAAATCAGAATTACACGAATAAAAAATGGATTTTATATTAATTTTTTTATTCTTTATTATAGAAAGAGATAGATTTCTGTAATTTATAAGTTACAATATAATTAGAACAAGTATTTTTTAACTGATTTAAGATTTTCATATTTATTAGAGATATTTTTCAATATAAATTTTAAGAAATACATAATAATAATTGAAAAATAATGTATATAGAGACTAATTGATAATACATAAGAGAAAATAATTGATAATAATAATAACGATAATAATGAAGAAAAATGTACTTTGATTAAATTATCGAAATTTAATGAAGATCATTATATAACTATATAATGTAATGTTTATACATAATATTTATACATTAAAAATAAAATAAAATATCTAAAGTAAAAAAAATAAAAATAATAAATGATGATACGATATTATATCTTTATTTATACCATGTTTAAAATGTCAATATTTGAAATTTAAATAAATATAAATAATAAATTTGATTCTTTAAACGAACTTTATTTAGAACGCAAATAAAGAAACATTAATTTATTTAAAAATCATTTAAATATATTCCATTTTCAATAATATTTATTGGTATAAATTGTTGAGAAAAGTTTTTTCACAATTATAATTTATATTAATAATTGATAATAATATTGATAAAATGTTGATAAAAAATGTATAAATATTGAATAAAAAGTTAAAAAAAATAAATAATTGTTTTGATTCAATATTTAAAAAGAATCGATATCATATGATTAAAATTAATTACATTTTGAGAGAAAAAAAATCTCTTGACTTTTTTATTTCTTATAAAGTTTTATTTATAATGTATAAAATATAAATAAATGGATATAAAAGAATAAAAAAATGGATAGTTTTTTTATTGTAAAATTAACAAATTAATTATACAATATAATAATAATTTCGTTAAAATGAACAATTTATAATTAATTTATCATATTTTTTTGATATTTTTTTCTCTTACTAATATTCTATTTTTTATGCATTTTTTATTGTAATTCATAATCGTAATCATCAAACTTGCATTCATTTGCATTCTATTATCAAGTTTGCTTTCCAATATTGTAAGCCAAATTTACATTGGTTAAAAATCAATGCCATACGAGAAATCCGACAATAACATATCTTCTTAGATAGATTTGATGTGGTGGGAATAATTGCATACCCTCTTCTCATTTTCATTTAAGATTGATTTGCTTTGCAGTAAGTGAGAAGCAATTCCTTTAGTCTGACCCTTTCCTTAAAACTTAAATCCAAAATTATTATTATATTGAAAGAAAAAGGGTAAGTAATTGAATATATTATTTTGATTAACAAATTTCAATATAAATTTGATAAACATGCATAATTATATATCATTTTTGTTAATATTATATTAATATATTAAATATTAATTTTAAAATAATTCTTATAAATTTATTTTTAAAAATTTTTAAAAATGCTTGTAAATTATTTTGCATATTTTGCATAAAGAATTTTATAAAAAAAAAAATAATAGAAACAAATAATTTAATTTGATAAATAGAATATTTGTACAAAATTTCAGTGTATAAAAATTTATAGAATATACGTAATTATATTTTTTTGTTTCATACAATTTACGTTACGTATGTTGATATACTGATAAATTCAGCAAAGCGCATACTTACTAAATTTTTTATTTTTGTTATAATCTAATTGTATTTAATACTAATATTTGTAATTTAACAATTAATGCTTTATATTTTTATGTTTTTAATAACATATTTTTATGTTTTTATTTTTTTAATAAAGACACTTAAATAAGAAATATTAAGAGATAATATTTTATCAATAAATATAAAAATATAATTTGAAATATACGATTAATGTTGCCTTATCCAAATTTTATAATGATTTTTAAAAATATATCGTTAAAAGTACATCTTTATCTAATATATATAAAATAAAAAAAATTGGTATAATATTTTCTGATAATTCAATTAAATTTATACTTACATTTATATATATTTTGAATTATAACGAGAGAATTTTTCTTTTATATAAAGTAAATACTATGATAAGTTTATGTGAATAATGAAAGTTTATGCATGAATAAAAAAAAACTTTGTATTAAACATATATTTAAATTTAAATTGAGAATGATATTATGTATTTTCAAAAAAAACATCAATGAAAAGTATATGCAGTGTAGTTTATAAATGAATGAAATTTGTTAATGAAATTTGAAATACATATTATTAAAGAATAATAAATATCATTGAAATAATTGCATTATGTATCTATATACTATTAACAGATTTAAAAAGAGAAGCGTGTAAAAAAAAAATTGAAATATCATTGAATGTTGAAATTTTAAGAAAATGATTTACACAATATTGTTCTTTATATTTCTCTTGGCCATTCTACATTATTTTCTATTGCATCATGGAAAATTTGGAAAAATGATAAATTTGATACCAGGACCTGAGCCATTACCAATTCTTGGAAATATTCCTACTTTTCATAATATTTCTCCAAGTAAGAAGAAAAATTTTATTTTTCTTTAAATTAATTTTATTTTAATTTTTATTTTAATGATTTCATTGAATTTCACTTATAAATATAGAATTAATATTATTAATATTTATTTGCTTTATATTTATTGTAGGTACGCTTTGGAAATTTTTGACACAATTAAACAAACAATATTATCCAATTTATAGAATGTGGACTTTCTTGGAAGCATATGTTCATATTTGTCATCCGGATGATATTGAGGTAATTAAAAAAAAAATTTGATATAGACAATTCTTGAAATATAATATTTTAAAAAATATACAATTTAATTAATATAATTTTAATTAACATAAATAAAAAATCTACATTCTTTTATAATTATAATTAATTCCAAGTTAAAATTATAAGAATATTAATGAATATAAGATACATAATGCTATAAGAAAAAATTATATACTCTTGAATTTTTTGAGCAAAATGTCAACTTACGTAGGTGAGAGAATAAAGAATCATTATTTTCTTTTCGTCATCTAGACAATTCTTGGAAATATTAAATTCACTAAAAAAGGTTTTGGCTACAAACACTTAGAGCCTTGGTTCAATACAGGACTTCTTACTAGTTCAGGTATTATATTTTATTTTTTCTTTTATTTATTATATTTTTTTCTTCTTTCATTTATTGTATTATGAAACATTTTTGATTTCTATTAAATTTATTTGAGATTTTAATAATTTTTTTGCTACATTATAAATAGCAAACGGAGAAAAGTAAATAAGTAAATATACTCTATTGATTTCTTGCAGGTCATAAGTGGCACGTTCGCAGAAAGATATTGACATCTGCTTTTCATTTTAATGTGCTTCGACAGTTTGTTGACATTTTTATAGAGGATGCTGAACGCTTAATTAAAACATTGGAGAGTGAAGAAGGAATTTTCGTGGAAAATTTATTGCAACTCACTAGCGAACACACATTGAATGTGATATGTGGTAAATTATGAAACATTATATATTATTTGGATAATTATAATATTTAATATAAGATTTTGTTGAATGAAAGTTTAATTTAAAATGAATTTTTTTTAGAAAATATTAAAATTAGAAAATATAATTTTTCATATTTATTTTAATAATAAAGCATTTATTATTATAATAGAGATATATTTTAATTAATTAAAAAAAAATTAGTGGATTAACTAGATTTTTAAAAATTACTTAATTGTTCTTAGAAACTGCAATGGGAACCTCATTAAAAAATAAAGAAAAGTTTCAGTGTGAATATCGTAAAGCTGTATATGATATGGGTTGTATTTTTATCAATAGGTAATTAATTTTTATATCATATTATCTTTAATTATTATATTATATTAAGTTTTTATTGGTTATATATAAATATTTATATGGTCATTTTAGAATTATAAAACCTTGGTTTTATTATGATTTCTTCTTTAATCTTTCTCCTCAAGGATGGCAACAATCTAGATTACTTAAAATATTACATAATTTTACGCGAAAGGTAAAAATACAATTTTCACTATGAATATGATTTTGTACTATATTATATTATAGTAAATTTTTTTTTTATTTGTCGCTTTTTACAATTTTAATATTATATTTTTTACATAATAATATTTTGTTAATATGTTTATAGATAATCCAAGAACGAAAAGAATATCACGATCAAACAAACGGTCGATATTTAAATGATTTTCACGAGAATATAAATGAAAATGATAATAATAATGACTTTAGAAGTAAATATATGATATATTATATATATGTATATATATTATTAGCATGCGATAAAATGTTTCTATTTATTTTATTGTAGTTCGTAGAAAAAGACTCGCTATGCTTGATTTATTAATAGAAGCCTATCGAAATAATAAAATAGATGATGAAGGAATTAGAGAAGAAGTCGATACATTTATGTTTAGAGTATGTATAATATATTTTTATATTATAAGAATGTAAACAATTTTTCGAATGATAATAAAACAGAAATTTATATTAAATAGGGACATGATACTACAGCTATATCTTTTTGCTTTTCTATAATGCTTTTAGCTGAACATAAAGAGATTCAGGTAATTTATTTACTATTTATTTACTATTTTATATTATTTACTAATTATTTATTATAAATCTAATTTTAATTTTATTATGAAAAGAATACTAAACTCTTATATATATATCTTTATTCACCTTTATTATAAAAGAATTTAATAAATTGAGTTCTATAATTCTCTATGATTCTCTTTAATTAATTTTATTATATTTAAACAAAAAAATTATTATATATATAATTATTTATTATATTATTTATAATTGTTTATTAAAGGATCGAGCAAGAGCTGAAATAAAAACCGCAATAGAAGAAAATGGAGGAAAATTAAATATATCTGTTCTTCAAAATCTTCCTTATCTCGAGAGATGTATTAAGGAATCTCTTCGTCTTTATCCAAGCGTACCTCGAATTTCGCGTAGAGTGGAAACGAGTGTAAAATTAAGTGAATACAAAAATTATATAGTAAAATAATTATGTTTAATTTTTTCTTTTCTTATAAAAATTTTACTCTTAATAATTATTTATTCTTAATTTTTATATATAATTATAAGAAATATATTATATTTTTAGGTAATTATGAAATACCTGCGAATACTGTAATTAACATAAACATATTCGAAACTCATAGAGATCCAAAATTTTGGCCGAATCCAAATAAGTTTGATCCGGACAGATTTTTGCCTGAAAATTCTAAAAAACGACATCCATATGCTTATGTACCTTTTAGTGCTGGACCACGAAATTGCATTGGTAAGAATTTCACATTCAAATAAATATTTATAAAACAGTATCCTTATATATATAAGGATTTTAGTAAAATAAAAATTTCTTAAATTTAGAAAAATAAATTTTTTATTAATAAATAAAAAAATGAATGTTAAAAGTTGAATTTATTTTTATTTAATTTTAATATTTTCTTGTAAGAAAATAAAACTGAATTACTGAATATTATTAATTTAGAATTTTTATAATTTCTAAATTATATCTAAGTTTTAGTGAATATATATATATATATATATATAATATTTATTATAATATATATATATAATATTTTTATCTTGCAGGACAACGGTTTGCTATGCTGGAATTAAAAACATATCTAGGTCTTCTTTTATACAATTACTATTTCGAACCTATCGACTATCTTAAGGATGTAACTTTTGTTTCGGGCATTGTATTACGATTAGAAAATCCAGTTCGAATGAAATTCATTCCTCTTAAGAACATATGCTGATCATGTATTTAATTATTATAGCAAAAAATAAATATAATATTTAATACATTTTTTGTCCTGCCTCATTAAAGGTAAATTACAACAATAATAATGATTATAATTAAAATGATAACTAAAGATAATTAAAATGACTCCATGTTATTTTCTATATTTTTTTATATATTATAATTACATAACATATATTAGAAAACTATTTTTTTAACAGAATATTAGAAATAAATTTTATTTTGTAACTATTCTAATTATTATTATTTTTAAAAATTTAATGATGAAAGATATTATTATACATATTATTTATAATTTATTTTTAATTTCTATTACCTTCGATTATAATGCATTAATATTAATGTATAAATTAGTTTTAATAACTAATAATAATAATAGTTTTAATAAAAGCTAACATATTATATTATAGATTATATTTTCAAAAATAAGATTATATTTTTTCAAATTAAAGAATTAAGTAATGAAATACAGTCCATATATAAAGAGAGAATAATAAGTAATAGAAAAGGAATAAATAAGATAAGTGACTATCAGTGCCATTTTTTGAGTAAGTTAAATACTTTTTTCAAAGCAGAATAAAATAGAATAATAGTTGAATATTATTATAGAGTGCTTTTAGAAAGATGTTTTTACTATTTAGAGATAGTATTAATTTTTAATTTTTATTCTACTTTACCCTATCCTTGATAAAATTTTTCTGATATTCTACAGATGGCGCTGATTTCCAATTTTTACTTTATTTCTGTCTTTTTCCTATTATTTGTTCTCCTTGTTTATACCTTGTTATATCTTATTTAATATTAAACGAATAATATAAAATTATCATATTATCTTTTGAAATTTTATATCTCATATAATTATAGATGTAAGATTGATATGTAGTCTATAATGTAGTTCCTTTCTAAATTACTGATCATGAAAAATCTAAATATTCTCTATTATTTAAGAAATATTGAAATCATTAAAGCTGATAAAATCAAAAAAGTAAAAAAATTTTCTTTTTTAAAATTTCATTATAATATTTATATATTTATAATAGATAGATTTATATCTTCTGAAAACAATCAAAAAATATCTTTCACATAAGATGAATTATTTACTAATTAAAAATTATATTTATATTCTCTATTATAATATAAGAAAAATATCTTCTTTTTCTTTCTATTAATAAAAATATTTATAGTTTTACATTACAATGTCTTGAATTTTGCAAATATTTTTTTATAACTAATATCGAATTCTTTAATTCATGCTCAATTCAACTTATTATCTGACAAACATTAAATTTTTTAACGCATATGCTTTTTAATCGTGGGCGCTGTCATCGATAGATTCAAGATGGCTATGATGCATTGCGGAAAAGAAAATTTGAAACGTTTAAACAATAATTTTTAACATTATATAATATTAAATTAATTGCACAAAATTTAATTAATTAGAGTGAAATATATAACATTAAATTTTCTCACTAATGCTGAGAATATCATACTAATAAACGAAAATTAAAATGGCATTTTTTAAAGAGAGCTGATTTCAGGAAGAACCTCCGATGTCAGCGGGGAGGATGATTTTCTTAGTTTTGTGGCGATTTCGCCAGTAACCAAGGTGAATTGAATAGTTGTAAGTTTTTTAATCATAAAAGTATCATTTTTAAACGTATATTTTATTTTTATTATAATATTATATTATACTGATAAAATTAAAAACCATGCTGTCATTTGAAATAAATATTCTATAACCACCTTTTCGATAATTAAATAAGTTTTTTTATGATATTTATTTTTTATAATTTTATTTGTATTGCAAAATAATTATAAGAAAAAATATAAATTCGGAACTTTTATTACTTGAAATCATTATTTTTTAATAAAATATAAAAAGTAATATATTAGCAAAATATATATTTAAATAATATTTTAAAATATTTTTTATGATATTAATTGAATTATATAATATATTTATTATAAATAATTATATTTTTTTATATTATAAT